ACTCAGTATTTTTGCTTAGGTTTTAATTAAATCGGTTCTATTTTCTATTTAAATCTACTTGTATTAAATGAATGACCTAAGGGTTTCATTTATTTAATATTTACTTAATACTTAACATTGTGAAATTTAATTAATGTTACCTCATTTTTATTGAGTAGATATGGTGTATTTTATCTTAGTGTACTCTGACAGCAAGCAGCCATACAGTTCATTTTGATTTTATACACTAAATAAGAAATGTGTTAATGATCAATTTTAACAAATAAAACGAGTAAAGCAACAGAGAAGTAAAGAAATCTCAAAGCTACAGTCCTGTAATTGACACAAATCTAGAATTTCTATATTATCTAGAAAACGTGTCAAACTCGAGGCCCGCTGGCCAAATCTGGCTGGTTATCRATTATTGAATTGATCTAAAGTTAAATGATCTTATCGATCGACTGACAATTAATTGATAAGCAGCCATTTTCTTAAAAACCCGAGTTTTCTCTTATAACAACAGAGTCTGTTAAAAGCATGAAGGGTAAATCTTTCATACTATGCCGACTTAAAAAATCGAAGCAGATCAATACATTTTAGCAATTTATTGCCTTCTTGTTGGTTCTCTCTGTGGCTGAAACGACAGATTTTTCAGAAGGTGGGTCTACCTGGACCCCAGGTGTTGTCTGTGGCTGGAACATAAATACCTTACTCTGTTTTCTACAGCTCAGAACTGATTCTTTGTTCTATTGGCTCGTTTAAGCGTGGTTCTGGAGCAGAACTCTTGCATATTTCAAACGAATAAAAAATCAAGTTCGAATATAAGGTTCTCTGTGTGTAAATATGATCAAATAAAGTCTTCAATGTTTTGAATGTCTGCACACAAATGCCTCTAAAAGTTGCATTTGTGGGGCAGCGAGAACTTCTGGGTCACAGCTCTTGTTAAAAAAAGAAAAAGAAATCACAAAATCAAAACCGACTGGTCCTTATCTGTTTCTTATAATATCAAAAAGTCAAACCAATGACCTATTTTTCTTTCTTTTTTCTTAAAGAAAATACGTCTTTACCACTTCGGCACAAGTAAGGGAAGAAATACTTTTTCAAGGAAATAATACAAAGCTCTGAAGGAAGTTCAAATGTAAACGCATCATTTACACACAAATCTGGGAGCTCTCGGCAGTGTGAGACAGTCTCAAAATAATTTGTGCACTCGTAACTTGATCTGTGTGGAAATGTGGTTTTGTCCGTGCGTATTTAATGACTTGTATGCGATGGAGCCAGTTTGAATGTGTAATTATCAGATTTGTGAAGTTGAAGGTAAAATTTTAAGGTTTGTGTAATTTATATTTGTGCACGTGTATTTTTATTTTGTATTCATAATTTCTTAATACTTGTGTGTACATTTGAACACACACTTGCAAATACCCGAAGTTACGGACAAAATGTTTTTTATGGGTTACAAATCATGTTTTACACACACAAACTTTGAGTCTACCTTCTCTCCATACTGCTCGCTCTTTACAAATAACTTTGGGCCTCGGTCAGGAAAAAGATCGGAGGGTTTTTATATTTTCGGCTCGAGAGAAGAAGGAAACTGACGGCGTATTGACCGTGTTTCCTGCTCACGACGCGACGCAACCTGAAGCGAATCAAATCGGACAGTAATTTTTAAAAAGTAAAATGTGGCGTATACTATTTATCATAACTCTGGTTCTACGTTACCTAACAACACAATGTAAAAACTTGTTTTAAAGTTTGAAATCTCTACTTTTGACTCAAATTGAATTAGAGTCTCAGAGAAGGCATATCTTTCCGGTTAGAGCGATTTAAATGGACCGTGTGATGCACCGGCGGATGTTATCAGTTAATCGATTGGAATAGATTTGAACCTAATAAACCATTATTCGACAATTAATCGTAAGTCGATTAATTGTTTGCATCCCTAGTTAGTATGTATTTTCTAAATGCAACATAAAGCATCATTTGTAAAAGGTCATTTATATTTTTACAGTATAAAGGATAATTTTTTATACAAGTTTTTCAATATATATTGACAGAAACTGGCCCTCGGCTTTGACCAAGTTTAGAATTTCATCCCCCTTGTGTTAYTAAGAGGAAGGAACTCACATCTCTCCCTTGTTTTTGTCCTTGAGCCACTGATGCAGAGTGTTAGAGTTGAACTGCAGGGCTCCTTTCAAACCTCCTTTACACTGAATCTGCATGATGGTGTGGGAGTTTCGAACCGCCTCAATAAGACCTACGCAGTCTCCCAGTGACAAACAGCCATAGGGCAACATCCTGCAAAAACACAAAGCATACTTTCTGAATCCAGAGCAGTGCAACRAACACAAGAGCATAAAGAATTATATGGATACAAGATAATAAACATAAAAGGTCATACCGTAGGTCCAGGCCCTGATTCTGCCAAATGTTCTCCATGATTTTAATTATCTGCAACGTCAACATATCCTGGCGCAAATCTAAAATAGACACACTAAAAACTGTTATTCACACAAAATAATTWAAAAAACAGCAAATTCCTGTAATTATAAATAACTAATTTTGCTTAGATGTGGATTGGGCACCACTGGTTTAAGGGGTGTGTATGTGTGTGGAAGTCTTACCATCTCCATTTTTGAAGATGATCTCATTGTTTTGAAAAAGTAACTCTGACATGATGTCAGGATTCTCCCAGTTGAGCCACAAGGGCCTCTTTGCTGATGACATGATCCTGCATTCATCTAACCTGAGCAAAGATAAAAGTTSTTTCCAGTTATTAAGCAAAGCAATCTAAAAAATAAAAATAAAAAAATAAAAATCATTTGGGTCACTGACCTCAGATTCCCCAGCTGATGTGCAGGGTTGAGAGGAGAGGTGAAGTTCTGCAGAGCATCCATGTAATCTGTTTTCTTCATCTGCTCCACAAGAAACCGCATCTGGACCTTTGCAATTAAGATTGTAAACAGGACCCGCTTTGAGTGTGACAGAATTATAAAATGTCRAATATTTTAAGGCTGGATTACACAAACAATTCAAGAAAAAATGGACACTTTTAAAATATATAAAACTATTAGAACAGTATGTCTTTCTTAATTAAACGGCACTATTAATATATAAAGGAAAAAACAAGGGACTTCCGGTTATGGCGCTGAGGTGAGCAGACGCATTGAACCACAGCTCCCAACTCGGTCGGCTAAATCCCCTTTGCCAGAGCTGAATTAACCCACTAAGACCGACTATTTTATGA